GCCTTGAAATGGTCCGCCCGGGCTCCAGGCTGCGAGGGTGTCCTGGCAGGTGAGGGGCAGGGGCCCCAGCTCCAGAATCTGGAGTCTCAGGGGCTTTGGCTTGGCTGTGTCCCAGCTGGGAGCACACTGTGAGTGCCGTGTGCCCGCTTTGCTGGTGTGTTTCCTGGAGGTGACTTCCGGGTGCTGGTAGGAGATTGTGGGGAGGGGCTGGAGCCACCCCTGGATAGGGGGTTCTGGGGCACAGTGACACCCAGCAGTGGGCCCAGTGGGCGTGAGGGGCCTCAAGGGGATTGGCCCAGAGAGGCAAAGTTCCAAGCTGGAGAGCTCCCGGAGGTCTGAGAAGAGCAAGGTGGTGATCGATATGGTGAAGCCCGTGGGCTTTGCTCGAAACCACCTGCCATCCAGGTGGCTCCTGACTTCCCACACCCCTCCTTGGAGGAGGAGGAGGCAAGAGGTGCCAGTGACCCTTGCCCCATCGCTGTGGCCTGCCTGGATTCCCCCATCTTGGGTCGGGGGAGGGGATGCAGCGGGCAGGACTGTCAAAAGCAGAGGTGAAGTGAATCAAGGAGCAGAGATTTCAGGTCAGTGGAGCTGTTGGGAGCGGAGGAGATGGGGGTGGGGTGGCGCTGGGGCAGGGCTGGGGTGACTCCTACGAGCCTCTGCCCAGCTGTCTCCCGGCTCGCCCACTCCTCTCGCCGTCCCGGTATGCCGGAGCTGCTCCTGGGCCTCCTGCCTGGGCCTCTGCAGCATCCCCCTAATTGGTCTCTGTCTCTCCGTCTCTCCAAGCCGTCAGCATGCTGCCACCACCGCAGCCAGATTAATCTTCTTAATACACCGCTCTGCACATCTCTTTCCTCCCCCCAGAAGCCCCAGTGGCAGCATCGCAGGCAGAAGCGAGTCCAGCCCCAGTGGTGGGACAGAGTTCAAGGCCATCCTGCCTGGGCCCTGCCAGCCTTGCAGCCGTGTCCTCCACGGACCCCTCCCCCGCTCTGACCCCAGAGAAGCACTTGATTCTCTGTCCCTGTCCCCATGCATTCCTTCCTCTGCATCTTTGCTCATGCCGCCCTCAGCTGGGGGTGCCCTCCACGGGGTTCTCCTTCCGCCCCTTCCTCCCCGGCCTCAGCTGGGTTTGAGCTCCCGGGGTGCTCCTGGTGTTTGTCCCCAGTGTGGGGCTTCGTGCGGCCTTGCAGGCATTTCGTCCTGCCGTGTGTGAGGCCCGCGTCCACCGTCAGTGCCCGCGGGGCCGCCTGAGCGTGGCTCTGGGCCGGGTGTTTTCACGGTCTTTAGCGCCTCTGTTCTGCAGAGCAGTTCTGCCATGAGGTGACGCTACCCTGTTTAACGGCGAAGGCCACTGGGGATCAGAGGGGCTAAGGGACCTGCCCAAGGTCACACAGGCAGAAAGTCTCAGGGTTGGCCGGCCTCCCACACTCTGGTTCCACCCCATGTTTTGATCACCAGTGTTCTGCACGCTGTGGGCCCGTTGAGGGTTGGCTGATGGAGGTGAGTCCTGGTGCTTTCAGGGGAGTCCTGGTGCCAAGAAGTATCGGGGAGCTTGTGGGCGG